AGAGGGCTGGCCAGGCTCCCACAAACAGCAGCTGAAGTTATGGAGGGATATCTCAGCTATAAGGGGTTCCCACTGAGAACTCATGGATCTAAACTCCAAGCTGGCTGCCCAGCTGAGAGTACCAAGACTGAGAAAGATGCCAACATAACATCTTACTGTGAAAATCAGCAGAGTTGCTGGCCTGCCAGGGAGAGATGGCTGCAAATGCAGGCAACCTCTTAAAGAGCCAACACACAAAAATTCCTATGCAGCCACTCACCTTGGGGTCCAACAGAAGGTGGGAAGAGTGGACTAGAGCTGTGTGAGCATAATACAGGGATGGGGGCTCTGGGGTTAGAGCTCAGAAGGCAGCCACCTCAGTCCCCTGTGATGAGTCATTCCCTCATGCTGCAGAGGACATCTTATCTTTCTCCTGCAGAACTTTACCATCCAGGCAGCTTTTGCCTGGGGCAGGGAGGGTGGGGGAGATTGCCCCACTCTGTTGGGAAACCTCTCACACCACCCTGTGGTTGATAGCATGAGGCAAATCGACTGAATGACATTCAGACTGCAGGAAAAGGCATATCTCTGAAGGCTTTGAGTCTTTGCCTGATTTCCTTCTGGGACCGGGGCTAGGAAAAGCAGACCCTGGTGCATATCCTGGTCTTTCCAAAGGCACTCAGCCCCAGCAGAGGGAGCCGCAAGCTGTGGATTGCTGATAGCTCCAGACAGGGTACTCAGGGCCAGTCACAAACAGCATCTGTCATTGACCTGCACTAGAGGTTGGTAGTCATAGCAGATCTACATAATACATAGATACAAACCCAAACACGCACCAAAAATAGGGAGACAAAAAAAAACAACCCCCAAATGAAAGAAAAAGGGAATTCTCCAAAAGAAGAGCTAAATGTAATGGACATAAGAAATTTATCAGATACAGAGTTAGAATAATGATGTCAATGATGCTCAACAGCATGAGAAAAGATATAGTAACTATGAAAAAAGACCAGTGAGAAATGAAGAATGACATAGCACTAATAAAGAACACATTGGACGGAATACATAGCAGAGTAGGGGAAGCTGAAGATCAGATCAGTGAATTAGAAGACAGGGTAGAAAAAAATCACAGAACCAAAAAGAAAATAAAAAATAAAAATAAAAAAAAACAGGAGGATAGCTTAAGGGAGCTGTGGGACAACATGAAAAGTAACAATATTTGCATCATAGGAGTAACTGAAGGTGAAGAAAAATGAGCAAGAGATAGAGAACCTGTTTGAAGAAATAATGACAGAAAACTTCCCTAACCTGGTGAAGGAAAAAGTCACACAAGTTCAGGAGATACAGAGATTCCCAAGCAAGAAGAACCCAAACAGGCCCATGCTCAGATACATCATAATTAAAATGCCAAAAATTAAAGACAAAGAGAGAATCTTAAAGGCAGCAAGAGAAAAGCAACTTGTTATCTACAAAGGAGCTCCCATAAGGCTGTCAGATTATTTTTCATCAGAAACTCTATAGGCCAGAATGGAATGGCATAAAGTATTCCAGGTAATGAAAAGCAAGGATCTTAAACCAAGATTATTATATCTAGCAAGGCTATCATTCAAGATAGATAGTGAAATAAAGAACTTCCCAGAAAAAGAAAGGCTAAAGGAGTTTATCACCACTAAACCAGCACTGCAAGAAATGATAAAGGGACTGTTGTAATGAGAAGAAAGAAAGAGAGAGAAAGAAACATAGGCATAAAGAATTAAAATGAAAATGATTAATGAAGTATCACCTCACACCTGTCAGAAAGGCTACCATCAACAAATCAACAAATGACAAGTGCTTGTGAGGATACAGGAAAAGGGAACTCTAGTACCCTAGTGCAGCCATTATGGAAAACAGTATGAAGTTTCCTCAAAAAATTAAATATGGAACTGCCATTTGACCCACTGATCCCACTTCTGGGAATATATCCTTAGAAACCCGAAACAACAATCAGAAAAAATGTATGCACTCGTATGTTCATAGCAGCACAGTTTACAATAGCTAATATCTGGAAACAACCTAAGTGCCCATCAGCAAATAAGTGAATAAAAAAGCTGTGGTACATTTATACCATGTAATACTATGCAACTGTATAAAAGAAGGTTATCTTACCCTTTGAGACAGCATTGAGGGATCTGGAGAGTATTATGCTAAGTGAAATAAGCCAGTCAGAGAAAGACAAGTATCACATGATCTCACTCATATGTGGAATCTAATGAACACAATAAACTGGTGAACAAAATAGATCCAGAGACATAGAAGCATGGAATAGATCATCAAATCTCAGAGGGAAGGCGGGGGTGGGTGAGTGGGTGTGAAGAGATCAACCAAGGAACTTGTACTAGTATGTATATATGCATAACCCATTGACACAGACAGTAGTGTGGTGTGGGGGGCAGTGGTGGGCTAGAAGGGATCAATGGGGGAAAGGGGGGGACATATGTAATACCTTCAACAATGAAGATTTAATAAAAAATGTTAGAAGTGAGGACAGATTTCCTGTCCCTACTCAAAGTGTTACAAGGGGCAGTGGGAAAATCATAGGAAGTCAAACTCAGTGGTTAGACACAAAATGAATTTGATATATTCTCAAAGTTTTTTTCATTGTTAAATTTTAGTGATTTCTTATAAGTTAGTAACAGCACAGTGATTGTTACTATTCAAGCAAATAACAAGAGTTAAATTTATCATGAATTCATTAGTGAATAGTTCTTTCTAGTCTGGTAAATAGGCTACTAGATTGTTACGTGAGCTTATATATCATAGCACGGTCTTTTAATACTTTCATTTGAAGTATTATAAGAAATTATGGTATTAACAATGAATTTCCCTTTTGTGTGTTTGTCTTGACTCCTTACACCATCCAAATGTATAGGTTTATTTTTAGTCATAATATAATCTAATTTTAATGATAATATAGTTTGTAATGATAAATGATCATTTCTAAACTTGATTTCCTTGGGGATACATAATGGTTTAGTTGATGCAGCTCTTGCTGTTTTTATGCTATTCCAGCTCTTGCTGTTTTAATTAATTTGAATCAATGATTCACTAAAAATATAGAGCTCATAAAGCCAAAGTTGAAAATAGCACATTGTTTAGATAGCTTAGCAAACAATACAATCTTTCATCGGGACTTTGTGCAAGTTAACCAAATTGTTTCAATTCCTCCATTTCTAAAAGGAGTGACATAATAGTACTTAATTTATGTGTTTTTCTGGGAAGAAAATGAGATATTGTGTGAAAAATATTTAGTACAGAACGTGGCATATAGTTAGTATTCAATAAATACTAACTTGTAATCATATTAATTAATTAATTAATTAATTATTAAATATAATACTAAACCTTAGAAAGTTTTCATTTTAAAATTTGAAAATTTATAAGAATTTTGAGTTGGGCTGTTTTGCCAAGTGGAATTTTCTTTTTTTCTTAATAGTTTAGTACAGTCTTCTCATTTGAGACAAAATGACTGTGAATATCATTGATCTTATAACAAAGAATTTTTTTTAAAAAACAAAATATAGTCAATATCCTCTGTTTTCTTATAAAGAAATAGTATTACTCTTCACAATAAAGGAAGATACCTATCAGTTGGAAATCCTCACTGTTACAAATGGCCAGAAGCTCGCTGCTCTTCCAATCTCTTAATACTTGTGCAACAGGTAGGGGTTGGTTTCAAAGTATAGTCCCATGACCATCTGCCTTTGTATCCTATGAGCTGCTACTTAAACATGAAGCTTTCTGGGCCACATCCCAGACTGCATAAATCAGAATTTCTAAACGTGGGGCTCAGCAAGCTGCATGTCTAACAAGTTTCACAGGTGGTTCTTATGCAAAGTAAAGCTAGAAAATTTCTAATTCACTGGAACACAAGAAAATGCTGTCAGGTTTTTTTGTTTTGTTTTGTTTTATGTTTTTGTCTTCTGGTCTGAATAACCTGGAAGAGTTACCCCTTTTTTCATAAATAAATGTTGGCTTCACTCATGGCATCAGTTAAATAAGTGAACAATTTCCTGGTAGCAATTTGGGGGCTTCAAGGAGAATCTTGGACTATTACAATCTAGGAAAAAAATACAGAATGAGCCGAAACCAGTTTGGCTCAGTGGATAGAGCGTCGGCCTGCGGACTGAAGGGTCCCGGGTTCGATTCTGGTCAAGGGCATGTACCTGGGTTGTGGGCACTTCCCCAGTGGGGGATGTGCAGGAGGCAGCTGATCGATGTTTCTCTCTCATCGATGTTTCTAACTCTCTATCTCTCTCTCTTCCTCTCTGTAAAAAATCAATAAAATATATTTTAAAAAAAATACAGAATGAATTAAAGGGTCATCACATTTAACATTTCTTCAGCTCTCCAGCCCAGTGGTCTGCAAACTCATTAGTCTACAGAGCCAAATATCAACAGTACAACGATTGAAATTTCTTTTGAGAGCCAAATTTTTTAAACTTAAACTATATAGGTAGGTACATTGTTATTAACTTAATTAGGGTACTCCTAAGGCTTCGGAAGAGCCACACTCAAGGGGCCAAAGAGCCGCATGTGGCTCGCGAGCTGCAATTTGCCGACCACGGCTCTAGCCCCTTCAGGAGAGAACCTTATTGACTGATTTTATAGAGAGAGAGAGAGAGAGAGGAAGGGGGCAAGAGAGAGAAATAGAGATAGAGAGACATTGATTTGTTGTTACACTTATTTGTGCATTCTTTGGTTGCTTCGTGTATTTGCCTGACCAAGGATCAAACTGCAACCTTGATGTATCAGGTCGATGCTAGGGCCTAAGATATATATTTTTTATTGGGTTGATGACAGTTGAGAAAAAATAGTGAAGCCAGTAAAGTGAGCTTATAATTTTGTATAATGTGTTTTTTTTTATTCGAAAGAGATCTTGAAAAATTATCAGGAAATGAATTAGATTACTTTTACTTTCTGCTCTTAAAATTATATTCTTAAAATTTTTACCACATTAAAACTTCTTTTGTGTTTTTTTACAGGAATTGAATTGCCTCCTAGAGGGACTGTTCCAATCACAGTGTGTTTTATTCCCAAAGTTATGAAATTAAGGAAGACAATGGCCGTTGTTCAAATGAGGAGGGCAGATGGAACAAATTGGCCTATTGACAATTTTGATGAATTGAGTCCAGAGTTGAAAAGGTAACGTTTAAATAAGTATATTGATTTTGTTTTGTCTGGCACTGATACAATCAACTTCTTTTATATGTGATGCAACATAAAGTTCATGCTTTTTATTCTCTGATGTGTTGAAATTTATATGTTCAGAGGAGGAAAATGTATTTGTTAAATGGGTATACTATGTATCACTGCTGATATAAAGTTCAAAGTGATGAACAACTCAATCTTTTTTTTTTCTTTTTTTTTCTTTTTTTTTATTGCTTAAAGTATTACAAAGGGTGTTACATATGTGTCCATTTTTTCCCCCGCCCTAGACAATCCCCTAGCCTCCCCTATCCCCCAGTGTCTTATGTCCATTGGTTATGCTTATATTCATGCATACAAGTCCTTTGGTTGATCTCTTACCCCCCTACCTCATGCCCCCAAACCCTCCCCGGCCTTCCCCCTGCAGTTTGACAATCTGTTTGAGGCAGCGCTGCCTCTGTATCTATTATTGTTCAAAAGTTTATAATGGTCTCTATTATCCATGAATGAGTGAGATCATGTGGTATTTTTCCTTCATTGACTGGCTTATTTCACTTAGCATAATGCTCTCCAGTTCCATTCATGACGTTGCAAATGGTAAGAGTTCCTTCTTTTTTACAGCAGCATAGTATTCCATCGTGTAGATGTACCACAGTTTTCTAATCCATTCATCTACTGATGGGCACTTAGGCTGTTTCCAGATCTTAGCTATGGTGAATTGTGCTGCTATGAACATAGGTGTGCATATATCCTTTCTGATTGGTGTTTCTGGTTTCTTGGGATATATTCCTAGAAGTGGGATCACAGGGTGAAATGGGAGTTCCATTTTAGTTTTTTGAAGAAACTCCATACTGTCTTCCATAGTGGCTACACTAGTCTGCATTCCCACCAGCAGTGCACAAGTGTTCCTTTTTCTCCACATCCTCTCCAGCACTTGTCGTTTGTTGATTTGTTGATGATAGCCAGTCTGACAGGTGTGAGATGGTACCTCATTGTTGTTTTGATTTGCATCTCTCGGATGATTAGTGACTTTGAGCATGTTTTCATATGTCTCTTGGCTTTCTGAATGTCCTCTTTTGAAAGGTGTCTATTTAGGTCCTTTGCCCATTTTTTGATTGGATTGTTTATCTTCCTTTTGTTAAGTTGTATGAGTTCCCTATAAATGTTGGAGATTAGGCCCTTATCAGATATGACATTGGCAAATATGTTTTCCCACACAGTGGGTTTTCTCATTGTTTTGTTGATGGTTTCTTTTGCTATGCAGAAGCTTTTTATTTTGATGTAGTCCCATTTGTTCATTTTCTCTTTAGTTTCAAGTGCCCTAGGAGCTGTATCAGTGAAGAAATTGCTTCGGCATATGTCTGAGATTTTGTTGCCTTTGGATTCTTCTAGAAGTTTTATGGTTTCCTGTCGTACATTTAAGTCCTTTATCCATTTTGAGTTTATTTTTGTGTATGGTGTAAGTTGGTGGTCTAGTTTCATTTTCTTGCATATATCTGTCCAATTTTCCCAACACCATTTATTGAAGAGACTATCTTGGCTCCATTGTATGTTCTTGCCTCCTTTGTCAAATATTAATTGAGCATATTGGTTCGGGCCGTACTGTTGGTACTTTCAATGGTGTTTTTTATTGCAGCTATATCACTCTTCATTTCTTCTTGGGTCTTACTTAAGTTGTTGATATTTTCATCTGTTTCTTCTAGCTTCTTCCGTAGGTTATTGATTTTTTCATCTGTTTCTTCTTGCTTCTTGCATAGGTAGTTGACTTTTTCATCTGTTTCTTCTTGCTTCCTGCAGAAGTTGTTGATTTTTTCCTCCATCCGGTTTATGCACTCTAGGACCCTTATTCTGAATTCTTTTTCTGTCATGTTGCATGCCTCTGTATTATTTAGCTGCTTTTCTGGAGAGTCCTCCTTCTCTTTCCTTTGGGGGTTTCTTTGTCTACCCATGTTTGATCTCACTGACATATCTAGACGTTGAGTCGTTCAGTGGCTCCTCCCTGGGTGGCAGTGACTCCTTGGTCTGTAGTTGCTCTTCGGACGGTTGCGGTAGCAGCTGCTCTTCAGTTGGCAGCAGCTCCTCTGGTGGGTGCTGTTCACATCTGTGGTGGCTCTTCTGGCTGGTGGGGGGAGGTTTCACGTACAGCTGCTGTTCCTCAGCAGAGGGTGTGGTGCTCAGGAGGCTCCTGTTGCTTGGATCTGCTGCGTTGATTTAAAGGCACAAAATACAACACAACAAGGCACCATGTACCAGGCACTAAACACAAATATATTCACGATATTAATAACCCCAAATAAAGGTGACCACCCGAATTAAGAGAATTAGGGGATAAGGAAGAAGGAAGAGAAAAAGATAAAAGAGAAAAAGAAAAGAAAAGTAGGGACCAAAAAAAGGAGTGCAAAAATGAAATTGGGAAAAAGGAGGGGGGAAGATAAAAGCGAGAAAAGAAAAAAAAAGAGCGAAAAGAGAGAATGAAGTGGAAGAGGGGAAGAGGCTTTTTATATGAGGAGAATACTCCTATAGAACCGCCACTAATCCCAACAGATTCCAGCAACAGCTCCCTGGAGATGAATGCAAACTAGAAACAACCAATAATATAACGATGAAAATAGAATGGAGAACACTAATCCCAAAATAAAATAAAGAGAAAATAAAATGGCACTTTAAAAAATGGTAAAATGGTAGCAGTAATAATACTGGTTAAAAATAAGAAGGTAGTAATTAAAAGGGTAAAATCAGGTGATGGAAAAAGAAGAAAAAAAATGGTTTCTTAGTTAAAAGGTGAAAAAAAAAATTTGCAGTAGTGAAGGTCCTTCGGTTCTTCTATTCTTCAGTCTGGCTCACCTTAGTCCTGCCAGGTATTCAGGAGAGTGTTGAGTTTCCCTGCGATACACTGTTCCTCTGTGTTGTAAACCACAGTCCTTATTTTAAAGCAGGCCGTATTTGTTTCCCAGACTGCCTTATTTTGTGTTTAGCAAAGAGTCAGTTTGTGGCTCAGCCTCTGGGTGGCAGTGTTCTTGGGTTGGCCTCTGAGGCTATATGGCTTCTCGCACTTAAAACTGATTTGGGGAGGTCAACTATCCAGAGCTGATTCCTTAATAGTTACCGGCTCTGTGTTGTTGCTGGGATTGAAAATCCCTCTATAGGCCAGACCCTGTTAACTCCCAGGGACTGATCAGGTTATTTTAATCCTTGATCTCCTACAGGGTGGAATCTGGGTGTGGCTGTGCTCCTTGCCTGGGGGCTGGGGGGAGGAGTCTCACTCTCTGGAGAGAATGGCTGCCCCAGTCCTGGGCTCAGGGGTGTCTCAGCACTCAATTCGCTGCCACCTCTCCCGGCCCCCCTTCTCTCCTCAGTCTCTCCCTAGATTCTACTCCTCCGCACCCTCTCCCTCTCTTCAGCACAGGTGAGTGTCTGTATCCAAAATGTCCCATGAACAGGATTCAGTGAAAACAAATAAACAAATGCCGGCCGCTGAAACGGGGAAGGCTTGGTTTCTGTAAGCTCTTCTCTTACCGGCACTGCATGGTCTGGTCAGCTCTTCAGGCTGCCCCCTTTAGGCTCAGTCCTCCGTGATCACAGAACCCAGCTCTCAAATCCCCCCCGCTGCGCCAGGAATCCCTCGGATCTCCTTTCCCCAGTCAGGGGCTGTGCCTGTCCCAAGGGACGCAGCTGTCTGCCACGCGGTCTCCCTCCCACCCTCTGGGCTCAGAGGTCTGGCAAACTTTCCTGCCCAAATCCCTGGGTTTTTTTTACCTTTCCAGGGGAGTTCTGCCCTTCCCGGCTGCAAACCATCTCACCAGCTGAGCAATTTCGCCAATTCGGGGTGGGTGTTATTAGTTTCAGCTGCTCACTCCATTTGCTCCGGGACAGGACCTGGGACACCTCTGCCTATATCGCCGCCATCTTCCGTCTCGACAACAACTCAAGTTTAACAGACTGAGAGACATGCAAAGGCAGCCTTTTAAACTGAGAAAATAGTTACTGCCAAGACAATAAGTAACCTGTATTTGGGAGAACAACCTAAACCAACTTGTCTGGGCAAAGTATAAGACTTGTGATGCTGGTATTCATCTACTGATGGCACAGTGCCAGATGGATATGTCATCCTGATGCCCCTCTCCCATGACTAGGGTATCCTGTTTCATTGCCAGAATGCAGGAGACTTGTCTCCATGTTTTCTTGCTGAAATTTAAGCCAACTCCAATAATGATAGAAAATGTAAATGCTTTCTCTGCTGTTATAGTACAATTAAATAATTGTCTAGAAGTCTTAATTAAAAAGAAATTCTTATTTTGCCCTACATGTACATATTTTATCTCCACATTTGAAAGAAAGGTTTCCTTTGGGTACATTCTGCCATGCTTTTTCATCACTCCTGCTGTCGAGACTGTCTACATGATTTGTGGGTCCTCATGAAAATGAGGGGGCTTTTCTTCAAAAAGTATTAATAATTTTAAGACAGGTACAGTAGTGTATTAAACAAGTATGGAGCAATGCTAAGTGTGTGGTTTTTGTGCTAATGCACAGGTCACGCTCCTACAAAGCTGGTCCTGCCTGCCATGACTTACGTTTAATTTTTAACAGGAAAATCCTGTTTCCATCAATGATCAGACTCATTCTAGTATCGCTATCCTCCTGGTAGTGTATAAATGTACTTAAAATATTTTGAGAAATGTCCTCTTTCTTTTAACTGGTATCTCCCAAAAGGAAAGTATTCCTTTCTGAAGTTCTGTACTTAATGGCATTTTTGTATGTGTGCTTTGCTTGTCCAATTTAGAATATAACCCATGGGAATTGTACTACCTGTGATTAATCACACTCTAGTCACATCAAAAAATATCAATACCAAGCTTTAAGTGTAGGGAGAAATGTTCTTTAATTTTAACGTACATCTCATAATGGTTGTATTCTATTTTTACTTGTGATAATTTCCCAGGGTTTGCCTTAAAATGTTTATAAAATCATTTACCAAAAATGTCTTGTATTTCATATTTATTGTCTCTCTGCCAAAGTTTATATTCACAAGCTTTGCTCAAATACCGTTAAGTTAATAGAGAACATGCTCTTTTATGCTAATATTTAAAGTGTTTATGGTTTTTGTTCACTCTTAATTTAATTTCTATTTAGAATGATGGTAGTAGACAGTGGAGAAATCCAAGCAATACGATGGATATACCCTATTCTTGGACTCCCACAAGCAAAACATGATGAATTCCCTCCAGGTAGGTATATTTTAGTGTCAGAGAACACCAGGATTTGGAGGTAGTTTAGAGGCCTTCTCATCCCATCTTTTCTTTGTACAAGTAAGAAGGTTGAGGTCCAGAGACAGTAAGTTGTGAAGTAGCCAGCCCTATTGGTGGGAGTGCTAGGACTGAATCTTGTCCTCTAACGAGTCCAATGTTATTGCCACAAAACGATGCCATTTCCTGTTGCTCTTCCTATTGGTAAAACCTAGAAATCAGCTAAGATGAAAATAACATTAACTTCAGGCCCTTTATCTCAAATTCTGTGAGGTGTTCAAAGCCCTGAACTAGATCTATTAGAATCTGTGGAAACCCTAATCAGAGTACCCCGGATGTTCAAGGCCAATTGGAGTGTGGGGGCTCTGTCCAGAGTACACCAGATGCTCAAGAACGATTTGTCATACGAAGGTGCATAAGCAAGGACACAGTGATATTACTGTACCAGTACACACTGACAGGCATGCCTTTCTGTAGCCCAAGTATTGATGTCACTATTTGGGAAGAAGCCTCTTTTGTCTAAGTTGGTATAAAGATGTGTTGTTGACCAGCCAGTGTGCCACTGCTTGGTATGGCTCCTGTGTTTGCTACTGTATTTAATATAAGAAAATATTGGAATTTCATATATATATATATTTAATCCTCACCTAAGGATATGCTTTTATTGATTTTTAGAGAAAGAGGAAGAGGGAGGGAGAGAGAGAGAGAGAGCAATGTGAGAGAGAAACATCAATCATTTGCCTCTTGTACGTGCCTCAACCAGAGATTGAATACGCAACCTGGTGTGTGCAGATAGAATCTGCAACCTTTTTGGTGTATGAGACAATGCTCCAACCAACTGAGCCACCTGGCCAGGGCAAAATATATAAAGATTTTTATGCTGTACATTAATATATAGTCACATTTTAATATTTATTGTAATGTATTACAATTTTATATTTAACTGTTAATGGTGTACTCTGTAAATTTCAAGTGAAAAAATATTTTAAGTATTTAAAGGAATTTTAAGGTACATGTAAATAAATAATATAGTAGGAAATATTTTTAAACTCATTACAAAATAAAGGTTATGAAAGTTACTTTTTTAATTATTTGAAGGTATTTTCTATAGTATAGTTATATAAGTTGAGTTTGGTATTTACCACAATGAACATAGAGATAGCTGAAATATTCACATGTTCCTGACCACCAGGTGAATTATTGATATAAGTAGATCTGTTTCTGAATAAGATTTCTATATCCTAGTACAATCTTCTATTACCTAATTTATACCTTTCAGATTTATCTTTTGTTATATTTTTGCATATTATTTAATATTCATATTTTATTACAAAATGTAAATGTATATAGATATTGTGGAAGGGTGTGTGTGTGTGTGTGTGTGTGTGTGTGTGAATTCAAGTGCAATGTCAAGTCAAAGTATGCCAAAGAACTTTTAGTTTTCATGACATAATTTAATAATTTATTTTCTTGTAACTCAAGAATGATCATATAACCTAATAACCAAATTAACTGGAATATTTCTTTCTTGTAGCTGTCATAAAATGTCAGTCCAGGAAACGGATAGAAAAGAATTTGAAAGTCACAGTTACTGGTGATTTTATTGGAGATCATCCTATCTTAAATGTATCAGATTTTGTAGTGGTTCCAAAAAAACGTTCATATGCATCTTATGAAGATATCGATGGTAAGAGAACCATAGTCATGGGTATAAAACATGATGATAAATAAAACCGTTTCCTTAAATTGCAGGTTGCTGATTCCTCAGTTATGTGAAAATCCATGCCAATTTATTTTTAATTTACAATATATCATTAAAATACTGCTCAACGAGTGTTCAGTAATATTTGTTTTCTTCACAGTAGCTATCTCCAAAATGATGATAATTATGGTTATTAATGGCTTTATAAGAATAGAGTGTTAAAGTTTTATTACAGGATTTATCTTCATAGTAACCCTATGAAGCTGGTAATATGACTATGTTTTATTTTACAAGTAATTTGTACAGGGTCATACAACCTAGCAGTGGAAGGCATGGTACATGAATACAGTCTTGACTATTTTTTAAAACATTAGTTTAAATTTTAAATAACTTTAGATTTAAAACCTAGATGTGAAATAATAAGTTCTGAACTATTCATACTGTGATCAGGCCTAACCTAATTGCTTTTCCTTTTAAAGTCTTGTAGGAATAATAATTAAAAAAAAATTACAAAGGCAAGGCTTTCAAAGAGGTTCCCTAACATAAAGTATAGTGTCTGGTGCACAGTGGTCAATTTCAGTTCCTACCCTGTTTGATCCCGTGGCTCTTTCTTTTCAGTAGTAGTATTTACCCATTGCTTTCTAAATAAGATATTACCTTAAACTTATAAAATTACCAATGTTCATCCATTTTGAACCATAGAAATGTCTGTTTCATATGAAATCACTGATATTTGATTTTTTATGTACAAAAGTGTCTTTTCATGTGATGCAATCTATATAAAATAATCCAGAATTAGCCTTCACCATTAGTCCCCTACTATCTATCATTCCAACCTTTTGTTTCCCTTGGTTGTTAACCTGTTACTCAACCAAGTGGGATCACTTGCTACTTCTGTACAGTTACCATCTACTTTCCCAGCATGGTGAATGTCTATGATATAGTCGGCCCTGCCCATCTGCCAACTTTCACTCCTTTCTTGTAGAAACTACGTCCACTAGCCATATAATTCTTATAATATCTCAATCATATAGTCTTCCCCTGCTCAGAGTAGACATCTAATGGAGGTTGGGCTTGTGAGTCTTCCCTCTCCTCCACATCTTTTGTAGTCAGAACACAGAAAGTCTGTTTCTCTTCATTTGCTGAAGCTGTAATAAATAAGTGAGTATTATTTTCTCTGCATGCCTGTTTTGCTCCTCTCTTTGCAGGTCTACTTTCTCTGCCTACTCATCAAATTATACACATGACTCAGTCATGATAAATTGGTTCTTTCTTTTATTTAAGGACACCCTCGGGAACTTCCAAAAGGTCATTCCAACTGGGATTCTGTTATTTACAAACAAGCATTCAAAGAGTAAATATAGAAGAGGATCTAGAAATAATAAATATTTCTTAAGTGAATTACAAAAATGTTAGAATAATCTCCCACATGCAATCTCACCGTAAGATTTGGAAGGCAGCCCTGGCCAGTTTGGTCAGTGGATAGAGCATTGGCCTGCAGACTGGAGGGTCCACGTTTGATTCTGGTCAAGGTTTCAGGCTCGATCCCTGGCCAGGGTGTGTTCAGGAGGCAACCAATTGATGTTTCTCTCTCTCTCTGTTTCTCCCTCCCTTCCACTTTCTCTAAAAAAATCAATGGAAAAATATCCTTGGGTGAGGATTAACAACAACAACAAAAAATATTTGGAAGGCAATATTTTAAAAACTGGAGGTGGAATTCTGAAATGAGTATATATGTTATTGTACCCAGTGTACTTCATAAGATCTTTGGAATTATAAAAAAATTAATTCACATTAATGTTCTTTATGTTTACTGACTAGTTATTGATTGTGTGAATTGTGTGAGATGAGATAGTAATACTATTATTAGGTTGCATAATAAGATATTTCATTATGTTAATTTATTCGTTATTTATTTTTTTCCCTTTGAATTTAATTTTCTAATTGCAAAAATGCCAACTTTATCACTGGTAATTTAAATTTATTTTTAAAAGGAAATAAATTTAAATGAGAAGGGAATTTTCTATTGCAAGCCTATTCAATTACTCCTTATTTTATTTTTTTTTATTTTTTTTATTTATTTTTTTAATATATTTTATTGATTTTTTACAGAGAGGAAGGGAGAGAGATAGAGAGTTAGAAACATCGATGAGAGAGAAACATCGATCAGCTGCCTCCTGCACATCTCCTACTGGGGATATGCCCGCAACCCAGGTACATGCCCTTGACCGGAATCGAACCTGGGACCTTTCAGTCCGCAGGCCGACGCTCTATCCACTGAGCCAAACCGGTTTTGGCGATTACTCCTTATTTTAAAGAACTATCTTTTAATAATGAAATCAGACTGATGCAAACCATTTTTATTTATCTTAAAAACATTATAAGTTGGATAAAGATTCTGCTTTAGAGACTCATGTAGCATTAGAGGAATGTAGGGAATAGAATCTTTAAATAAATGATACCCTGTCAGCTTTCTTTTCTTCAACCAATAACCAATAACCAATACTGAAAGAGAATTCTCATTATTTATTCAGATCAGGGATAAAAATATTAGTGTAGATTAATCTGAGTTTAAATGTGCAACTCAACTGCCAATTTCCAGTGATAAATAATTGTTTTATTGAAATAGACCATCATTTTAATAAGCAGACAACTTATAGTAACCATACCCCAGTGAATATCCAGTCCCTTTCTGAAGTGAAATCATTGTTTTGTGTATCACCTGTTATGCTTAAGTGAGTATTAACAGTTTAGTATTCAAACCTTTATTTCTGTTTTAAATCTATCCTGTAGAAGATAAAACGTTGATGCTTTATGACATTAAGTATAAAAGAAGGTAAAGAAATCCTTGTATATAGGAACTATTTTAATAACATCTCACTAAATTGCTTAAGTTGCACTCTTCTCAGGTTGAAAACTAAAGAAATTATAATTCTGATAATAGAAATTGATTAAATCTTATTACCTGGAAAAATCTACTTCCTTCAAGATAAACAAGGTCTATAAGGAAGCTTCAAAGAACATCATTTTGGGAGGTTTGAAATGCATATTATATGAGGAAAAGAGTCTCCCAAATAGCTCTTCAAAATACACCTTTTGGTATGGCTCATAATTTCACTGTTTCAGTACTTTTCATGATGAAAAATAACAATATGGGAAATAACTATTTGGAAAGTTTGCAGGCTTCTCTCTTCCTCTCTTTCTCTCTTCATCATTTCCTCTACACTAGCTTTTTCTCTGCTCAAAACCAACAAACTCAAGAAGCTCATCTGTTTATTTGCTACAGACATTTTAATGTGTAAATGTTTATGTTCTGAAACTTGTTTTGCTATCCAGAAGCAGAGTTTTTTTTCAATCTTCTCTCAACTTTAATGTCTTTTTTTTTCTGTATTCATGGGACCTGAATATTTGATAAATCAGCTGACCTCTCTCTTGTCCTGGTTCCTTAAAACCATCTGGTAATAACTTGACTCCTTTCCCTGTCTTTATTCCAAAGTTGTAACCAACTTGCCTGACTCTGTATATCTCCCTACTTGCCTTTCCATTCTTACCTATATTTTTATGAAGGGAAAAGTCTGACCAAGAAGTTTGAAAACTCTTTTAGTTTTTAGTATATGCAAAGGCAAGCCAGCTGTTTTTCCCTGTGTGTATAATTCAATTATAGCCTACTCAACAAATAATGTCCATCAGAGTCTTGTTCATGCCATTTTGTACTTCCTAATGCCTCTTAAATCACTTGTAGTGGAAATTAAAGCACTTCACTCTGCTGCTTGGATTATAATGGAGTTTTCAGTGTGATCATTGAATGCATCCTATATTCCCTCATCCGAGTTTACTGGGAAGTAGATGTAGAATTATGGCAGATAGAGATCAAAAGGTTGCCTTTATTATAAAGGTGAACTGGAAAGTGACTTGGTACTATGCACTCATTTGGGCTTATTAATACCTTCCACCAAAATTGAGTGCGTTCACCCTGAGCTGCCCAACTGTAAACTCTCTTTAGGAACAAACAACCTACTCCTGAAGGAGGAGGAGAAAGTGTGCATCTTGGATTCAAGACATTGGGAAAGGAAGAGAAAGGTCTGCTCACCTCATGTTCCATTCCTTCACCCTAATTCACTGATCAGATATGTTGCTTTTCCTCTGATGGCAAGTCATAAGGGAGGAAGCAAATTGATGCAGGTTTTTTTGTCCCTCCTAAATTTTTCCTTCTTGTGAGTGAATAAGCCTCTCTATGTAAACATGGTAAGTAGGAGATAAGAATCCCCCACTCCCTTTCCATCCTTCTTTTACCTTAATTGTCTTTCCCAGAGATTCCAATAAGACTATAAAGCCTCATGAATTGAAAATGCCAGGACTTCTCTGCTCTCCATCCCCACTCCTCGCACACACCATTGAGTTAACCAGGATTGATCATTTTCATATCTCTTCATTCAACAACAATCCAGTGAGCATATTTGCTGCCAGATAGTATGCTGAGCCCCAGGGATGCCAAAATGAACAAGACACAGACTTGGAATTCAAAGAATATCTATCCAACATATTGGATTTATGTGCCTATATTATTGGTAATGCTCTACTGGGATATTATTGGACTTGGATTTTTAGACTGTATTTTGCAGTGCCACTTCATAACATTGCAGATTATTCTCTCTGAGCAGAAGTTCCCTTTTAATTGTATTTCTTCCTAAGTGGCTTTTGGTCTATGCATTCTTTGTCTCTCTGGGGAGTAATTTAGTGACTTTCTCTGTGGGACTTTTTCTGTGAGAGTGGTTTTACCACTTAATGGCACATTAAATTCATGCCTCTTCCTTTTATTTCCCAGGTGTTCTGCATCTTGCAGCTATTTTTCTTTACTTAATCTGCTGTCTTTTTTTGTATGTGATCTGCTGATTTTTGTGTTACACTGGCCAGTCATCATACTGTATGTCTTTTGCATGTCATCCATAAACAGTATGGGGTTTGGTCTGTAATCACAAACGGGT